GCTTGAATAATTTATGAAATTTCTAAACTTTCTATCTCAATCTTAATGTCTAATTAGTCGATAACTTCATAAAGTTAATTCAACCAAGGTGTTTTTGATAAAATTCAAGAGATATTATTCTAACTAGATGAGTACCCATGCTACAAGCATGCTTTATCTCATTAAAAATTTTGTTGTCGTTGATTAGTTTCTATTAAGATTATTTGTATGTTATAAATTAAACACATACTTTGTTGGCACAACGTAGACATATGCCTACAAAGCATTAGCATAAAGCAACGATATTTATCAAGTACGACATCTGAGTGAACTTGTGAACCTTTAACTATTTTTTAATTAAACGATGCGACTAAAGAAGGAGACGAAAGCTGAAGTATCAAATGTGAAAGCTAAGAACCATCTAACTTTCTTACTCAGAGTTTAGAAAGTTTCATACAAATTTTGTATCTCTATATTGAGCAATCTGTTATAAGGAAGAAGATAGGCAAAGTCTCCTAAAAATAGTTTGGCATACTAATATCCATCGGAAGATATAAAATGGTTTAGAGAAATATATTGCGCAAATCAAATCTAAATGAACACATGAATCATGCTTTAAATATCAATGGTCGATATGAAATCCATGGACTCTTTTAAGCTTATGTTAGCACAGAAAAACTATTCTCCTCGTCTGTCTAAGCATAAAATCTTAATCAGAAATCTGAAGTTTGACACTTGGAGTTCGATTGGCCTTATCACGCCTAGTAAGACTAACAAGTTTTTTTCACTGAAACCACCTTACCATAAAGACGACATTTTAGGTTCACGACATCCCAAAAAGCCAACTATGAACACCCAAACTTCCAAAGCCATTTCATTTAACATATTTTGTATGTGGGCTAAGAAAAATCCGTTTAACTAAAACCAAAGGCAGCTTGCGATTGTGCTGTAGAGAATTTTCATGAATAACATGTTAGTTTAACAAAACGAACTTATAACATATTTGTTGTTTAAAATAACAATAATTTTATTTTAATTAAAGCTAAAACTGCTTTATGAGATGAGTATGAAAAAAATGTTGACATCAAGTTCACAACTCTTTTTTTTTTTTGCAGTTACCGAATACTCATTATATGAACAAAAACCCGACTATATCAATTAAAATAATGTATGAACCTCATGTAATATTCACAACTCCTTGATTTGGTACCTGAAAAATGTGAATTACATTGAATTTTGTTTATTTTTTAATTGTTTTACTCAAGGACTTTGTCGATAAGAAAATGAATTATTTCTATAAGGTTTAAAAAAATATTATTGTATACGTATGTAACACATAATTTCTAATTATTTTTATTTAACATGAAACTATACAATTTGATAAATCTTCAAAAAAAATATTACAAATGCAAAAAATATGTATTGAAAATCAAACATGATATGAGTGATAAATGGCAAGCAAAATATATAATGCATCTTAAAGTTTTTTAGGTAATAAATTAAGTTTCATAATTTAAGGTCAATAAATGATTTTTTTATTTAGTCAGTTCCAAATTTTAGGCGCGTTAGTTATTTCAT